CACCTACATCACCACCCGCTCCTCCCCCACCGCCGCCTCGTTCCTCTCTGTTCTCTTCCTGCACAAAACCTGCTTTTGGGAAAGCAACTGACAAATTAAGCCACGCTGAGCTGTAGTCAGCTGAGTGGGTGTTTATGACAGTACCTGTCAATTGTCTCTCACTATCCTATTTCAGTAAAATAAAGAAACCCACTGGCTCATCCTCCTGCCCTTCCCCACCTCAAATGTGTTAGCTACACACAAGACCACCCAGCAGAGACTATTTCCCAAGCTATCTTACAGCTAAGTATAGGTCATGTGATTGAGGCCAGAGTGATATGAGTAAAAATAACGTGGCAACTTCTGGGGCATACCCTCTTCTTCCTCGTCCTCTTCCCCTTCCCCCTTTCCCATGGCTGGGATATAGACTGGGAGGGGGATGGGGCACAGGCTTTGCTCACAATGAGGGCAATACCTGATGGTTAGTGAAACAGAATGGAAGGATTCTGAGTCTATGGACCAGCGCAGAACCATCCTACCCACTCAAAGCCCTTACCAGCTCAGACTTTTACATAGAAAGAAACTTCTAAATTATTTAATCCATGGAAGCTGGGCTTTTACTAAAGCAGCCAAATCAATATCCTAATACAGCGATGCTTGCTCCCTAATGTTTAATAAACAAATAAGCAAAAATATCTTGAGGAAGAGCGTTACCAGAGTTCCTGAAATTCTAACCGGAGGCCATCCCCTGAACTGGGGATCCAGCCTGTTTATAACAATGACCCCATGCCCCTGATGTCCCAAAGCATCTTTCAAATCATTTATCATTCAGTTTACTGGGACAGTATTGTATTTTACTGTGTAGTATGCATCTTAGGTCATATGGCTAGTTCAATATTGATAACAATAGCCAAGAAAGATCCCTTCTTCAGCCTGTGGGTCAATGCAGTTTGCTGTAAATTTATGAGATATATTACCTAAGTAGTTATCTTATCTACTTACAGATGAGACCTAAAAACCCATTAGAGACTTTCCCAAGGGCCTGGGGCTAACAGAAACTCAGCCTCTCAGACTTACCTTTAAGAGCTCTTGACACTTCCCCAAATAAAGAACCAATCTCCTTAGAGATTAGGGTCCTCTGACACCAACCAGGGAATACTATTAGAAAATCTTTTTTTCTTTCTTAAAGTACTTGTAAAAAGGACGATTAAACCACAGAAATGTGAGCACCACAGAAAGAAGGAAGTTGTGCAAAGGTCAACATTATGCTGGTAAGAGACTGTTTAGGAATGATCAGTACTTGGAAGCCAATGGTCACAGGTTCATAATTGTTCTTGTAAATATTCAACCACTGGAAAACTTTCAAAATGCCAGGTAGCCAATGGTTTCTAGATTAAAATATTAAAACAAATAATAATTTTTAAAACCCCTCTCACTTCTGATAACATCGCAGCTAACTGAACTAAGTAATGGAGAGCCTCTCTCACCACGCTGGACTTGTTTCCTGGAAATCTGTGAATACCAGACCACAGAGCTTGACTAATGGCTAAGGACATGGTGCCCACTGTGTGTGTTTAGAGAACTGGCTTGTGTGGGAAGGACCCAGATGTGTGGTCCTCATGCCAATTTCTCTTTGGACCTAAAAATCAGCAGAAAAGGGAGGCAATAGAAAATGACCACGATCCAGATGGAGATGGTAAGCCAGGACTGATGACGGAGTGAGCTGAAAGTTGTCAAATTAAGGGGGAATTTAGGTTAGCTGGAAAGAATCATGAGTTTTCTCTTCCCCAAATTGAGGCAGGAATGGAGAAACCACTGGCTTTTGAGTTGAAAGCCCCAGATTCTAGTTCCAGCTCAGCCCGGGACTCCTCTGAGCTGACTTCTCAGTAAAATGCACAAATACTTGTGAATGGATGCTCCAGTAACCTCAGAAAGTTGTGTGAAGATGTAAGATGATATCGGAGAAAATGTTTCAAGTGCTCTCATGAGCCACACAGGTGAGGAGATTTATCATTATATTATTAGAAAAAAATGCTGAGATGGGGTGTCAGGGCATGCATTATTGCTCTCCAGCCTAGGTGACAGAGTGAAACCCTGTCTCAAAATAAAAAAGATTTTTATTTTGAGACAGGGTTTCACTCTGTCACCTAGGCTGGAGAGCAGTGGTACAATCTCAGCTCACAACAACCTCGATCAAGTTCAAACAATCCTCCCACCTCAGCCTCCTGAACAGCTGGGACTACAGGCACACACCACCATGCTCGGCTGATTTTTGTATTTTGTGTAGAGACAGAGTTTCTCCATGTTGCCCAGGCCAGTCTTAAAGTCCTGGTCTCAAGTGTACTGCCTGTCTAAGTGCTGGGATTGCAGGCATGAGTCACTGCACCTGGCCACAATTCTTTTGGACAATTCTTCTGCCTTTTGCTTAAGCAAAAGAGGAATCTTTTGGTTCCAATGAACGGTGTCAGTATTCATCAGAGCCAATCACAAATATCCCACTACCACAAATGGTAGTCCTTTCACGGTTAGGTGTGCCCATATTATTTGATTGTTACTTCCAGCAGGAGCTTTAAGATCACAGGTGCAATTTGCCCTCATCCCTTTCCCTGCATTGGTGATTATGGAGGCATGCGCTGAGAAGAAGCTTCCATCATCCTGAGCCCTTAGTGATTAAAGTGAGCAGAATACCCACCATCCACCTCCAACCTGCAGTGAATGTGCAGCATTGGCAAAGAAACTTTAGTTGTGTTAAAAGCCACTACAACCTTGGGATTGTTTGTTACTGCAGCATAACCTTGTATTGAGTATATATTCTTAATATTCTTATTTTCTGTATTCGCTATGCTCTAGCATTTGGATCCTTGATCCCAAGAGGCCACCCCACCAAGGGCTAGCAAATTCTGAGAGAGAGAGAGAGGGAGAGAAGGAGAGAGAGAGAGAGAGAGCGCGTGTGCGCAAACAATTCTCCTGGGAGCATACCCTTGATGTGGAAACCAACCAATCCAGAGCCCACACCTCCAACCATCTTCTTCCTCCTTTTAAAACCAAACTCTCACACACCAAGCCAATATTCCCCCTTCCCTAAGTCATCCTAGAGCCAGACAACTAGGAACCATCCCTATGGCCTAGAACCCACCAAAATTATTCAAGCTCTCCAACCCTAAACTTACTGTGCACATGTACCATGTCTTAACCATTCCTTCCTGTGAAAACCCCAATAAAGGCTTGGGGCCATGTTCTCCCCTCTTCCTGCCTCTTGACCAACACTTACGCTTCCCCACGTGGCCCTGTGTGCCACGCCTCCTGCTTCTAGGGCTCTATGAGCATGAACTTCTTTCCCCATGATAACCATCGCCATGTCCATGTCTGTGTGCCTTATGTCTTACCATTTCTGATTAAATCCTGAAAACTAAATCCTGAAGGATTTAGTTCTGATGCAGTGAGCAGTGTGGTTTGATGCCAGATGGAGATGGAATGTCCTTAGACTGATCTTGACTTCTACCTGGACCCCACAGATAGCAGCTGCTGCTTGGCAAGGCACAGCTGGGAGTGGAGCGCTCATGCTTCCTGCTTGATGGCTACTGCGTTGTGTTGTGTGCTTTTGTCAGATGTTGTCATTAATTCCCAACTTGAAATTGCGATGCTCAAAGAGCTGAGTCCTGGAGCTGCCTCATAGGCTTGTGTGATGCGCCTGGGACTAACCTATTTCTCCACGTTGGTGGAGTGCCCAGGATCCACGACAGAGCGCCTGGGGGTATGTAATTGGCTACAATCTTTTCTCAAAAGGTCCCTCTAAAGGGGACCAGGAGTGACTGACTAACCTCCTCGAGCCAAGGGACAAGTCTGACCCACTGACCAAGGGGCACTGACAACAATGGGGTTATCAGAGTCCTTTAGATTGGAAGTGCCTAGTGTCTACGATGGGATATGCTTTTAAACCACTTTCCCTTTTCCCTCTGGGCTTTGCTGAGTCAAATTTCAGCCTCTTCCTTGGAGTACTGCGAGAGCACTCGCCTGAATGCTTGCTCCTTGCTTGCACATGTGTTGAGGGCCATTCTTGGGGTCAGTGTGAAGGTCTCCTCCAGGGATCACAGCATCCCACAAATGTTCGGATCCCACACTTCTTTGCTGTTGTCTGCTGCTGGCATGATTTATTTCCCAGTCCCTCCCTGGAGACGAGTGACTCAATGTTTAATGATAAAGGGGAAGGAAAAGGAGCATCTGGTTCCAACTTCCCCAAAAGCCCCAAAGAGATGGTCCTACCCAACATGGCCCTATGTGGCATGCCATGCCTCATTTCTAGAGTTCTGTGAGCACAGACTTTTTCCTCATAACAATCACCTCTGTGCCTGTGAGTCATACCATTCCTGATTAAAATAAATCCTGGGTACACATTAACACAAGCCTGGTTCATCCTGATGGATACACAGGAGGAAGAGTGGGATTAGCATCAGGCACTGAGATTTTTCTCATCTTCTTCCCAATCTCTGGGGTCTAAATGGACTCTCCAACTGCAGACAGGCTTTCGACATGGCAGGAAGATGGACCCCATCATCACCAGCTTCGCTGCCAGAGCCTAGAGGCAGGAGGCAGAAAAAGTCCCAGGGACAGACTCAGATTGGCTGACTGGAATCATTAACATTCATGAGACAATCACTGTGGCACATGCATTTGATCAGGATTTAGGCAGATGCTGACTCCTGTGGGTGGGTGGGTGGAATGTGTTGGGCAGCCAGCACAGGCACCGGTGACATTGATCATTGTCCTTTTGTGGTTGAAGTTTGGACATCCAAACCTTGCCAGACCCTGAGGAAGGGACAGTTTGTATATAGCTGCTTCATCGCACAAAGTATTACTGAAAAATCAGACAAGCAGAGAATGAGCCAGCTTCCTTTGAGATCGAAAGATACAGCCAGGAGGCCCTTCTGAGATAGGGCCAGGCCAACCAGAAATACAGTATCTACAAAGAATCCATCATCATAACAAAGGAAAACAAATGCTTTAAATGAATGCATGAAGTGAAGGGTAGCAAATATTTATTGACTTTCCAGTTATTTATCAAATGCCCTCTGCATCATGTATCCAGGTGACTCTGTTCAGACAGACAGCTCTGGCTAAAGGAAACATCCAACTGCCCAGACACCTATACTGGGCTTCTTGCTTCAAGAGAGTTTCTTATGGAGGCCCATGGGAGGCCAAGAGAACAGGGATCTGAGATCTCTCTCTGCAGGTCACAGGGAATGAAAGGAAAGGAGAGGGATAAATTCGTGACAAGGCTGAGCTCAAGTGGAGGGTACCACCAGGGGCTCTCAACTTGGAAGTAGTGGGAGGGCTTCTGGGGTCCATGACCTCTTGTCATTGCATGTAAAAAAATTGAATGTTCATTTCCTATAGCCAATAAAGAGGAGCATGGAATTTTTTTCTCTTGATCTTCCTAGTATCTCACTGGGTAGGCAGAGGTAAGATCTCTTAACTTCAGTTTCAACCTTTTCCAAATGGCACTAGTCACAGAATTTCATGTTCCTTGCAGAGTTCTGTGTTGTGAAGAGAACACTAGAGAAATATGGGTCCACCTCTTAATGAGGCCATTTACCAGCAGATGACTCAATCTCAATGAGCTGGTTTCCTGGTCAATAAAGGGAGGATAATATTGATTCTCATACCAACCCTGTTATAGTAGATGAGACAATAAATGTACTGAGCTTTCTAGTCTCATCCATTAATAATCAAAGCCTATTAGTTATAACAGTACAAAGTATTTTTAGGTATATTGTTTAATTTTCACAAAAGTTCTACCAAGTAGTTCCTATCATTATACCCATTTAATTTAGGAAAAAAGTACAAAGTTGGTGAAAATTGAGATTTAGAGGTCAAGCATCTTACCACTGAGAAGCACAGCTAGCTTCTGACCTTGGGGGTCTGACTTCGGAGAGCATATTCTTAATCTGAGGATTTACCTCCTCCATTTACTCCATACACAAACTAGCAGAGAAGCCACCAAAACAAAGCAAAGAGCAGGCTGCAAGCTGTTGCCATGGGGATGATCTGGAGAGTGAAGGGGGAACCTTCACACATGGAGTCCCTATGAGGCACCAGACACATGACAGAGATGATCTCATTTGGTTAAACTGGAAGGAGCGCCTTCATCATAGCTCTCGTAACAAGCACATACTGTGGTCAGCCTTGCTTCCTTTTGTTCTACATAACGGGTAAAAACACGGAAGGTGGTGAGATTCATTTGCCTGATTTTATGTCATGCCATGGGTCAAGGGCTTAGCTGGGAATTAGGAAGTTGGGATCATCTTTAAAACCTAGAGAAAGTACTTGCCAAAGGCCACAACTTGGGTACAAAAGAAGCTACAAAAATCATGGAAGTTTTAGAACTACTGTTTATTTCCAATTTTTCCCACTTCTTCCCCCAAGAGTGGCTGCATTATATGAAGAAAGAGGGCCCCGGTTTCATGAAGAAGGGAATTAGCACCCATTTCAGACTTCCTACACTAAAGAGGGGGTCCCGTGGGGTGGAGGGAGCTCAGGGGACACTCTGGATGGACCATGCTCTGTGGGTTCTTCCTGGCTTAGAGCTCTGACAGAGAGGGGGAACCGGTGGCATCACCTGCCTGATACCCTCCATGTATTCTGGGATTGCAAATGAACTAATTAGAGCTAATGTTGGAAATAAACTTATTGGATACGCTGCATGATTTGGGCCTGAATTTCCCAAATAGCTATATACAGAGGCAACTGAGGATGCAAATGTTCCCACACTTGGCCATGGTGGTAATGAAGTTGTACTCAGGAGCTTTTCAAAGACGGGAGCTTCTGCTCTCCAGCTTCAAAAGAGAAAGATGAACGAGGAGAACAGCAGGGGGTCTGGCTCCTTCCTCCCAATCCAACTGTAACTTCTGGATGGCAATAGCCTCCTGTTGTCCTCACCATCCTGCCTGTTATCAGCTGCAGCTGCAAGGGCATCCTGCATGTGGGAGACTTCTGTTGCTTACGAGCAGCTGGGTCATGGCAGTGGCACTGGCAGCTGGCTGGATCATTTACTGGCCACGGCAGAGAGCTGGTCTCGGATGCGGCCCAGGCCATCTAACATGGTATCCAGTGTTTCTTTGCTCAGCTCCACGGTGACAGCTGAGATGGAGGGTTTGTCTCCGCATAGGCTGGGATCTTCCTGGATCTGAAAAAAGAGAATACGGCCTAGAAAGTCATAGCTGCCTCTTTTCATATCTCCCTGTAAGTGAGCCCTGAGCCTGCGAGGCTGAGCTCAGTTCTGCTGAACCTTTGAAGACAGGCTCTTTCCTAAGCACTAGAGTATCAGCCCTTGAGTCATTTAGTGGTAAGGGAGAGTGAAGGAGATGCCTCAGAGGCCTGAGTCAGTTTCCATTTGCGACAAGTGCCTTGGGTAGGTATCAAAGAAGGCCAAGCCAAGACTCAGCTCTCTGACACCCTAACTCTCAGCATTCAAGTAAGAAAAACATGGTGTGTGTTTACAATGGTACTTAAGGAGTGGGCTCTGTTGGATACATAAGACAATCCATTGAGATGCCGGAACAATATTACAACCTTTAGTTTAAAAAAAATAAAGAAGTTAAGCTTTACTATTATTGAAAACTTAACTGCTAGAGGCACCCTTCTTTGTTTTCTTACAAGTGTTGAATTTCTGGGTATCTGGTTATGTAGATATGTAAATATCTAGTTTTAACTAAACAAACACTACAAAATGGACATGTGGCTTAAAAAGATTCCTGAAAAGAACTATAAAATGAAGACAACACCAATGATGCAAAGGTGTGTGAGCAAGAAAACGAAGTCCTGACACTTCTCCAGCTGCTGGTAGAAACTCTAGATCAGCCACATTACAAATGACAGGCTAGTCGCTGGACAAGAAGTTGGCTAAAGTACACTGAAATTATCAGGCAGAGTAATCCAAGTCTGGAAGTGCAACACTATGGTTAAAGCTAAACTGCTAAGAGTATAGGGTAACATTTAGGTATCAGCAAATTATTTTAAAAGTATGTTTCGCATTTGTTTTATTGTTCTAATATGTCCACGACATGGTAATACGATAGTACACATACACTTCGTAACTAAACAAAGGAGGATAAAGGGGATGATAATTTTTAAAAATATATGGGTTAGAGATCCCAAACCTTGGAGATTGGTGTTTTAGATGGCCACAGGGGTGCGGCCTCTTCTTTCTAATGGCATGATAGTGAATGTACCTTCATCTGGAGTAGGCAGGTGGGGACGGCCATGCGGCTGATGCTGTCTGAGGAGGTTTTGATATCCACTCTCCAGTCCAGATCCACCAGGCGTGGCAGAGAGACTGTGGAAGGAACCACTCAGCTCAATGCTCATGCCGCTTATGTTTAACAAGCCTCTATTCTATGACAGGCAGCTCTGAGGACTGCACATATACAACGCATTGGTCTGCGCAGCAAGTCTGAGAGAGACAGACAGACAAACCCAAGACCACAGCAAGTCATGTGCCTTACCCAGTGCTCTGCGCTGCTGCACTTAGTACTAATTCACAGTGGCAGCATATCCAGGCTTCCGCCTGAACACCCAGCCCTCCAGATTCAGGGCAGAATGAGAAGTGACATAAGGCAGAGAAGAAATCACAGCCTGAGGCTTAAGAAATGTGCAGCTTCAGAAATAGTGGTAAGAGCTCTTATTTTAGAGAAAAATAGACTTGACTTGAATACAGGTACTACCACTTACCTAACCTCTGAGCTTCTGTTTGCTTATCAGCCTAGCTCACAGGGCTGTCGGGAAGACTAAATGACTTAATGCAGATAAACTGCTCCAGCACTGTGGCTGGCTCAGAGTTAGTGGAATGACCATTTATTAAACACGGACTTTTATTCAGTCTTTCAAACTAATTTCAATTACGGTTAATTTTTCTTCACAATTGAAATAGCACTATTTTAAGTACTTCACTTTCTGCTTTGTATAGTTCTGTTTTTTTTTTTTTCTTTTTGAGACAGAGTCTCACTCTGCCGCCCAGGCTGGAGTGCAGTCTCGGTTCCACTGCAACCTCCACCTCCCAGGTTCAAGCAATTCTCTGCCTCAGCCTCCGGAGTACCTGGGATTACAGTCGCCGTCCCTACCCCACTGCCCCCACCCCATCCCACCCCACCCCACCCCACCACCACCCCGACACCACGCCCAGCTAATTTTTGTATTTTTAGTAGAGACAAGGTTTCACCTTCTTGGCCAGGCTGATCTCATGATCCACCTGCCTCAGGCTCCCAAAGTGCTGGGATTATAGGTGTGAGCAACCATGCCTGGCAGATATTTCTGTTTTTTAACAACATGCCTATATAATAATGTTTATAATCAGAAAAAAGTTAAAAGTAGAATTAGGAAAAAAACCCCACCATACACAGAGTATGGGTTGAGACTAGAAAGGTTCACTTTGGTTTCTGTCAAAATCTCTGGTCACCTAGCAGATTGACAGCTGGGGCTGAAGAGACAAGTAGGAAGGGTGGGACAGATTTCTTGGTACTCACTCTGATTTGCCTGGGCTTCGGTTCTCCAAGTAGACCTGTTTAAAAGGGAAAAATGAGGAAAAAATAATGGAAAGTGGATGAGACTGACTCTTCTGATAGAGAAGCCGTTGGACCTTCCTGTGATCTTCAGACCTATCATCACCTGCAAACAGGAAAGCACCACAGAAACCCCTCTCTCCAAGAAAATCTTTTGTTTACCTGTTTTACAAAGCTCAGTGATGTTAAGGCCCTAAGTGTTGTTAGTTTTCATAGTTTAGGACAAAAAAGAAGAAAATACAATGTATTGTAATCTTACTGTGCTATTGTTCTGAAAGACAAAACAAAAAAAGATGTCAACTTAGCCTCTCTTTATTGAGCACCTACTGCATATACTAATATTGCATCTTCTGCAAAAACACGTCCAAACAGACCTGTCTAATGCTGCAATGAACAGAATAAAATGTGGTCATGTATGAGAAAGTTCTTAATATACAATAAAACCTTTGGTAAATAGGCATTATCAGTCATTGCTATTAGAGACGTCTGTTCAAGCTTTCTGCTGACCAACAGTTAATCAATTCTGCTTAAAATGTATGTGCTTAAAAGGAACTTTCCAGCCAAGAAAATATACAGATACTTCGCAAAAGAAATAAAAATGATCAATAAACATATAAAAAAGATATCTGACGTCATTAGTGTCAAAGGTAGGAGCACTGAAATGAGGTACCATTTGCCATTTGTGGAACTGGGAAAAATGGAAGAAAAAAATCCCCTCAGTGAAGGTGTAGGGAGAGGGGCACACCTGCATCCGACTACTGTGGAAAAGTGCTGCAATCTTTCTAATGGCCAGCTTGAAAATTTAAGGCCAAGTCCTCAAAATGTCCATTACCTTTAACTCAGTAAAAAAAATAATGAAGCACATGAGCAAGATTTTCATTGAAAATGTTCACTGAAATGAAAAAGTGCCAATAGGCTCAGTGTCCAACACAAAGAAATTTTAAAATTAAGTTATACATCATTTCTTCCTATAATAGAGTATGTTTAACCATTACAATGATATTAAAGGTAAATATTGACCTGAAATGTCACGATCGTTAATACTGTTAACAGCAAATAAGAACGTTATAAATTGGCATGATCCATTTTGTAAAAGCAAAAACAAAACATCAGCCTCCTGTAGATGTGTAAAGAGAAAAAAATAAACATGTCTTAAAAGGCTCTCTATTAAGAAAAGACTACTACTAACCTCTGGCTGGTGGAATTATAGGTGCCTTATTTTCTTTTTGCTTATCTGTGCTGTCTAAGTTTTCAACAATTGAGCATATTATTATTTCTAGAATGGGAATAAATAAGAAATATAAAAGTTAGAAGGGACTTTTAAGAAATGAGCACTTACACATGTTCTAGGATGATCTTTGTCAGTAGGTTTTTGAGGTTTTGGTGGAAATTTTCTGGAAAGAGAGCCAGAATCACCTCGGCAGAAGACAAGTCACGGAATGCCACCAGCCTAGTGAGGCGGTGGAGAGCCTGGAGCAGCTGCAAGACAGACGGAGCCACCCTGTAGCTACAACAGAAGCAGCAGGCAGAGGGCACCAGACAGGGCTAGGGGCAGGGCTCTACACCCCTAAGGCTGCACCCTGCCATGGTCATTCAGCTGAGTCACGAGTCCAGAGGCCTCTGTGAACAGCACATGCTCATGTCCCACGTGCCTCAGCCTGCCTTAGAGTTCACCTGTTGGTTCAGAAGACAGATGCAGCTACCTGATCTAGGAAGCTGTCAGCTTACCAGAAACTCTCCACTTGTGGGCAAAGAGTTAATATAGCCCTTTTCCTTCTGCATGAGAATCTGACCTTCAGTTAACTTTCTGGTGCTGTTTCCCTGGTAACCTGAGCACACTGGAAAGTCAGCTGTGTTACTAAGCAACACTGCATTGGTCCCAGCCTCTGAACTAAAAGGACTGCATAAACACCTGGGGTGCCCGTGGCTTTGGACTTGCTGACATGTGGCTACAGGCCCCTTTTGAGAAACTGAAGCTGTGCTTACTCAACTGTGACACGGGATACTGGGTCCTGTGGAGTGAGGGCCTTGAATGCAGGGTGGTAGGATTCAATGTCCTTTCCTCTCAACTGTCACCTAGGAGGGCAAAGAGAACAAACAGCTCCTGGCCAGCTGTGTGGGTTCCTCCTAGGAAGAAGAGTGTCTGCCCGTCCTGCTAAAATGCTGTGTTCCCATCCTAGGTCCTTCTAAGTGAGTCTGTAACTTGGAAGTGGTTTAAGGTGGTCTTGTGAATACAGTAATGCTTTGCTAACCTAAAAACACAGCTCTCTGGAGGTAACTGTTTCTGTGCTTTAGGACTTTCTCTGCTATCACTGCAGATTGCCTGACACAACCTGGAAGTGAAGGGAAGTGACCTTTCCACCAATGAGAGTGGGCATTCATGGGTAAATGGCCAGGCCTCCCTGTCCTCCAGGGAATAATTCTGAGAGGCGTTCTACTTGGTTTCTTACAGGACCCCAAGTTTTCCACAGCAGCAACCACTCTTAACATCCTCTTTTATTGACTTGCCTTCCCTGTTTGATTTTCCCCACTGCTCTGTGCTTTCTAGAATCACCTCCCAAATAATCTACTTTGGGGTGAACCCAAAATAAGTCTTCAAGTCCATAATCCTGCCTTTTCCTTTTCCTTTTCTACAGCACATTTCAATAAACGAAGACCCAGAATTAAAACAAAAAACAAAAAAACACAGGCCAGGTGCAGTCGCTCATGCCTATAATTCCAGCACTTTGGGAGGCTGAGGTGGGTGGATCCAACTCAGGAGTTGGAGACCAGACTGGGCAGCATGGCAAAACTTCATCTGTATGAAACATACAAAAATTAGCCAGGCATGGTGGCACATGCCTGTAGTCTCAGCAACTTGTAGAGCTGAGGTGGGAGGATTGCTTGAGCCTGGGAGGTCGAGGCTGCAGTGAGCCATGCTCATGCCACTGCCCTCCATCCTGGGTAACAAAACTAGACCCTGTCTCAAAAATAAAAAAGTCCAAAAACATAGTCCCATTTAGATGAAGAAACCGCTGTTCTAAAAACATATATGCCTTGGAAAGATAAGGCTGTCACTGCTACATAATAACTTACTACGAGTTACCTTTATCTCCCTCTTGGCCACCTGCTGAGATCAGGTGAGCTAAGGAGAAAGGGGATCTTCTGTGGGACAGAGGGGTGAGGAGGGAGTGAGATACACAAAACACCCCTCACAAAGCCTGATGGGAACTAGCAGTGCATACTCCTCAATTTTATTCAGGCCTCAAAGCTTCTGTTCAAAGATCCCTGAAAAATCTGTCCTAAGCTATCCAGCAGACAATTCATCAGCATCAGCAAGTTACAGGTTGAAAAAGAAAATCACAAAAAGGCTGGCTTTTGTTCCACATTGTCTGGGTAATAGGTCTGAAGAGAAAATGGTCAGGAGCTCTGATTCTGGGTGTAGTTCTCCCATTCATGTCTCATTTATCAAAGTTTGCTCTAGTGTCAGCAGATGTTTCAAGGGATTTTCCTTGGACATGGCAATGACTGGGAAGTCAAGAAAGAGACTAATAAGTTAAGAGGGCCAGTGGTCAAAGGTCATTTCTGACCACACTTACTTCCTCTGCCTCCTCCTGGGTCACAGACAAGCTGGAACATGTAATATCCAAGAGTTTTTTTGAGCCAAGGGCTGAACTGGAAAAGCTTTCTTGACATAGCTGTCTGACAACATCTTTTGAGGAGGCCTATGAATTAAATCACAGATAGAAAAAAAAAAAAACAGACTCTGAGAACACATGTTTTGAATAATAATGTCTTAGTCATACATGATACCTTTGAGACTTAAAATTTAAAGGTACATAAGACTTTGGTTTCTGGAAAGATCAAATAGATATACTTTTCCCTAATCCTGCTAAGTACCACTAAAAACTCTGGACACTATACAGAAAACATACATAAGACTCTGGAATGGGGAGAGAAGGAGACAGATCTGCTAGGGACCTCATAATACAAGGAATTATACAATGGTGAGTTCCCTGGATTTTTTTTTTTTTTTTTGCTTCATATATCTCAGACTTTGAGCTGAAGAAGAGGCCAACCTGTAAATGACAATGGATGCAGCGTGAAAATAAAAGCCCCAGTAAATACCTGCTCTCTCTAACTAAAGGACCAGTACAGGGGCAGCCTCACAAGACAGAAGAGTTTTAGACAATAACTGCTACACCCCAACCAAATATCACAGAACGAACTGAGGCCCCACCCACCTCTACGTCCACAAAGACTGCGTGGGAGACCTAGACCTAAGTGAGAAGACTTGTGAGGCTATAATGAGGTACTCCAACACTCCTGCTGAGGAGATGGCAGAGAAGGCCAAGTAGGAAGCTGAGACCTTTATCCTCACCAGCTGGTATCAAGCCTTATCGTTCTGTGATACTAGAGCCCATGTGGAGTCAGAGATTCCTCTCCTACCCAGTGGTAACAAGGAACCTCTGCTTTCAGGTATCAACAGAAGCCAAGTGGGGAACCTGGACTTGAACTTCTAACTGATAGTAATGTGGTGGCGCCCCTTCTCTGGCCTCAGCAGTGCCGCAGAAAGCCAGCTAAAACATAAGATTTAAATAAAATCCATTCTCAGAACATAAAACATGAAAATCATTCATCAAACCAAGAACCAGAAATATCTCAAACTGAATGAGAAAAAGGTAATCAATAGATGTCAATACCAAGATGACAGATGTTGAAATTCTCTGACAAAGAATTTTAAGCAGCCAGGATAAATATGCTTCAACAAATAATTATGAACTTGTTTGAAACAAACATTTTAAATTGCCTCAGCCAAGAAGTAGTAGATATAAAGAACAACAAAATGGAAAGTTTAGAACTGAAAAACAAAAAAGCCAATATAAAAAGCTCAGTAGATTGGCTCAGCACCAAAATAGAAAGAATAAAGAATCAGTGAACCAAAAGACAGAACAGTAGAAATTATCCAATTGGAAAAACAGATAAAACAGACAAAATTATGAACAGAGCCTCAGGGACATGTGGGACTATAATGAAAGACCTAACATTCATATCATTGGAGTCCTAGAAAGAGGGAAAGACTGAAAAAATATTCAAAGAAATAATAGCTGTAAACTTTCCAAGTTTACTTAGAGACATACTCCAATACATTTCAAGAACCTAAGTGAACCCTAAACAGGATAAATCCGAAGAAATCCATACTAGGATATATAACTGAACTTCTGAAAATGAAAGACAAAGAAAAAATCTTTAAAGCAGAGAGAAACAACACCTTACCTATTAAAAAACAATTGGAATAAAAGTAAATTTCATATCAGAAACCATGGAAGAAAGAAGTGACAATATTTTTCAGGCGCTGAAAGGGAAAATAACCTGTCAACTTGGAATCCTACACCCAGCAAAAATATCCTTCAGGAATGAAGAGGAAATCAAGACATTCTCAGATGAAGAAAAACTAAGAATATCTGCTGTAAAAGAGTGGTCAAAACAAGTTCTCTAAGCAGAATGGAAACAATGAAACAAGAAACCAGTGGAACACCAGTGTACTAGCCAGAGCTCTCCAGAGAGACAAAAAACGACAGGATATGGGAGAAGGGATTTATTAGGGGGAAATGGCTTTCATGATCACAGAGGCAAAGTCCCACAATAGGCCATCTGCAAGCTGGAGGACCAAGGTAGCTGGCAGCTTGGCTCAGTCAAAGTCTAGCAACCTCAGACGAGGGAAGCTGATGGTACAGGCCCCAGTTTGAGGCCAAAAGACTAAGAGCCACTGGGAGGCCACTGGTGTTAAGTCCTAGAGTCCAAAAAAATGAAGAACCCAGAATCTGATGACCAAAGGCAAGAGGAGAAAAGGCATCTTTCTTTAGAAGGGAGGGAGAGAGCAGAGAGAAAGAGAATCCCCCTTCTTCCACCCGTTTGGCCGAGCTGGGTCCCCAGCCAATGGGTTGGTACCTGCCCACATTGAGGGCTGGTCTTTCTCTCTCAGTCCACTGACTCACACATCAATTTCCTCTGGCAACACTCTCACAGACACATGCAGAAATAATGCTTCACCAAACATGTAGGCATCCCTCAATCAAGTCAACACCTGAAATCAACTATCACAATCAGGCAGGCAGAACAGCGCAAACAATGGAATTCTAAAAAAATGTTACAATAACTTATGGGAGACAGGAAAAAGTAAAATGAAAAAAAAATAAAAAACCAGGAGAGAACAGGTAGAAAACAAAAATAAAATAGTAGACTTGAAGCCCTAACACACAAATAATTATGTAAATTATTTTATATGTAAATTATATTATATGTAATTATTTATATGTATATTAATATATTACATGTAAATATTAATAGTCTAAATGTACCAATAAAAAGACCAAAATTGGCACAGTATATTAAAAATATGACTCAAATGCTATCTATAAGAAACCCTTGGTCAGGCCTGATGGCTCAGGCTTGTAATCCCAGCATTTCGTGAGGCCATGGCAGGTGGATTGCTTGAGCCCAGAAGTTTAAGACCAGCCTGAGCAACATGGTAAAACCCTCTCTCTACAAAAAAAAGATAAAAATTAGCTAGATGTGGTTGTACTTGCCTGTAGTACCAGCTACTCAGGAGGCTGAGGTGGGAAGATTGCTTAAGCCTGGAAAGTCAAGGCTGCAGTGAAGTGAGATTGCACCACTGCACTCCAGCCTGGGTGACAGAACAAGATTCTGTCTCAACAACGACAACAACAATAACAACAAATCTCCCTTCAAATATAAGATACAAGGCAGGGTAAAAATAAAGGAATGAAAAAAGATATATCATGCAAACATTAATCAGAGGAGAGAAGTGGTTAAATTAATAATAGATAAAGCAAACTTCACTGGCAAAGAAAATTACCAGAGACAGAGAGGGACGTCATGTAATAATAAAAGATAACAACAGAATTGCAAAATATGTGAAGCAAAAACTATCAGAACTGTAAGAAACAGACTGAAAGACAAATATAACTGAAGACTTCAACACTCCTCTTTCAACAACTGACATAACCAAACAGATATTCAACAAGGATATAGAAGAAACTCAACAATACCATCAACTGATTAAATTAATATTTATGAAACAGTACCCAGTAACAGCAGAACACAAATTCATTTCAAGTGCCCACTAAACACATACCCAGGCATCTAATATTCTGGGCCATAAAAGAAACTTCATCAAATTCAAAAGAAATGAAGTAATGCAGAGTGTGTTCTATGTGACCACAATGGAATCGAAGTAGAAATCAATAACAGAGAGGTAACAGAAAAATATCTGAACACTTATAAACTTAAACAGTCCACTTCTAAATAATCCCTATGTTAAAGGGAAAGTCTCAGGGATATTTTAAAAATTACACTGAATAAGTGAGACTGAAAACACACCATATCAACATTTGTGAGGCATAGCCTAGCAAGTGGTTAGAGGAAAACTTACAGCATTAACTAGAAATACATGATAGCATATTAACTAGAAATTAACATTATAGCATACACTAGAAAAGAGGAAAAGTCTCAAATAGACAATCTAAGCTACTACGTCAAGAACCTATGAAAAGGAAAGCATAATAAACCCAAAGGAAGCACTGGAAGTAACAGTGATAATAGCAGAAACCAATTAAATTGAAAACAGAAAAATCAATGAAACAAACAGCTGGTTCTTTGACAATGTCAATAAAAATCGACAAACCTCTAGCAAGACCAACAAAGTTAAGAGGGGAGACACAAATTATCAGTATCGGGAATGAAACAAGAGGATATTACCACCAATCCTGCAGACATCAGAAGGATAATGGAAACTTCATGAACAATTCTATAAACATAAATGTGATAGTTTAAATAAAATGGACCAATTCTTCAAATAACACAAACTACTTCCACTCCCCTAATATAAAATTGATAATTTGAATAGGCCTATAACTATTAAGAAAATTGAATTCACAATTTAAAAACTCTTAAAAAAAATCTCTAGGCTCAGATAGTTTGGAGAATTCTAACGAACATTTTAAAAAAGAATGAACTGATTATATACAATCTCCTCGAGAAAAACAGAAGATGGAATACTCTCCAAATGATTTTATATAGCTACAAAGCTAGTATTACCCTGATACCAAAACTGCACAAAATTGTACAGAAAAATAACAAAACCACAGACCAATATCCCTCATAAAAATAGATGCAAAAATTCTTAGCAAACTATTAGCAAATAGAGATCAATTATATATACATAAATTAGCAGATACAAACAATTATATGTAATATATATACATACATATATAATATAAATACATACAATTATATATAATATATATACATACATATATAATATACATACATACAACTATATACAATATATATAAGTATATACTATAATATATAAGTATATAATTATACAGTATGACCAGGTGGGATTTATTCCACAGATGCAAGGCTGGTTCAATATTTGAAAATCTATGTAATCCACTACATTAAAGAAAATCACATGATATAAATCAATGCAGAGAAAGCATCTGATAAAATTAAACATCCATTCTTGATAAAAACCCTCAGAAAAATAGGAATAGAAGAGAATTTCCTTATATTGATAAACAGCATCTACAAAAAACCTACAGTTAACATTATACTTAATGGTGAGAGGCTAAACGCTTTGTCCCCAAAACTGAGAACAAGGCAAGGTATCTGCTTTCTCCACTCTGAATCAACATAGTGCTGAATGTTCTCGCCACTAAAATAAGGCAAGAAAAGGAAATAAAATGTGTGCAGATCAGAAAGGAAGAAATAAAACTGTCTCTACCTGCAAATAACATGATTTTCTATGTAGAATATCCCAAGGAATATACCAAAAACTCCTAGACACATTGAGTTTAGGAGGTTTGCAGGTAGAAGATAAACATACATAAATCAGTTGTATTTCTATATATTAGCAATGAACATGTGGACACTAAAATTAAAAATATGGGCTGGGTGTGATGGCTCACATCTATAATCCCAGCACTTTGGGAGGCCAAGGTGGGTGGATCACTTGTGGCCAGGAGTTTGAGACCAGCCTGGCCAACGAGGTGAAACCCCATCTCTACTAAAAATATACACACAAAAAATTAGCCTGGAGTGGTGGCAGGCACCTGTAGTCCCAGCTACTTGGTAGGCTGCGGCATAAGAATTGCTTGAACCCAGGAGGTGGAAGTTGCAGTGAGCCGAGACTGCACCACTGCACTCCAGCCTGAGCCACAGAGCAAGACTCTGTCTCTCAAAAAAATAAATAAGTAAAATACCATTTGCAGTTGTTCAAAAAATGAAATGCAGGATGTATATACTGAAAACTACACAACACAAAACTGTTGTATTGTCATTACATGAAATACCACTCAGCAATAAAAAGGAAAAAAAATAATAAAAAGGAAAGGAATATATATACTACATAGATGAAAATTAGGCTGAGTGAAAAAAGTCAATCTCAGAAGGTTACTTACTGTATCTACATGGCATTTATATGGCATTCTTGAAATGACAAAATTAAAGAATAATGCCAAAGGTTAAGGAGGGTGTGGCTATAAAAGAGTAGCATGAGGAATCTTTGTGGTGATAGAAATGTTTGGTATTTTGACTATCAATGTTAATACCTTTGACATTAGGTACTGACATCCCATTTATCTTTTACCCAATTTCCCCTACTTCTGCAGGATTCTGCTATATATAATAGTATGTATACTATATTAGGTATACTACAGAGTATATATATATATGTTATATATTATATAAATATAATATATATACATACTACATGTTGTATACATACTATACATAATAGTATGTACACATTATATAGTATGTATACTATGTTATATATATACTATACATATATACAGAACTATACATAATAATATACATACTATATTGTGTATATATTGTGTATATATAGTATGTATATTATGTATAGATCTGCAGAATCCTGCAGAACTGGGGGAAATTGGGTAAAGGATAAATGAGATTATTATTATTTCTTTCTGTTTTTTTTTTTTTTTTTTGAGACGTAGTCTTGCTCTGTTGCCAGGCTGGAGTGCAATGGCTCGATCTTGGCTCACTGCAACCTCCACCTCCTGGGTTCAAGCAATTCCCCTGCATCAGCCTCCTGAGTAGCTGGGACTACAGGCATGCACCACCACACCCGGCTAATTTTTTGTATTTTAGTAGAGATGGGGTTTCACCATGTTGGCCAGGATGGTCTTAATCTGCTGACCTTGTGATCTGCCCACCTCGGCCTCCCAAAGTGGGATTACAGCTGTGAGCCACCGCCCCCAACCTATATTATTTCTTACAACTACATATGGATTTATAATCATCTAATAATAAAAAGTCTAAGTATTTTTTTAAAAAAGAAAATAAAGTACATAGGACAGTAGCAATGAAAATCAATGAACTACTGCTACATAATGGTGAGCAAAAGAAGCCAGGTATAAAAAAAAGTATATGCTGTATTATTCCATTTATGTAAAGTTCAAACATGGGCAATATTACATGGATTGTTCAGAAGCAAAGATAGTGGTTACCGTTGGGGAAGAGAGAGGGGCAAAAGGGGGATTTTGAGGGTACTGGTAACGTTTCATTTTTTGACCTTGGTGGTTACACTGGTAAGAAATCATTTAACTGTACATTTATGATTTATGCACTTTTCTGTATGTATGCTGCACATTAATCTTTTAAAGTTTTTAAAATAAAAGGGTGCCTAAGACCAACAGGCATGGGGGTGGGGGTAGGTACAGAGCAGCCAAAATGATGGTGAAAAGGCACTGGGCTGGTAGCTGAGAGCCCTGGGTTTCCAGTCCCAGCTCTGTTACTTCATTTATAATTAATTTAACAGCTATTTACTGAGCACATGCTGTGTGCCAGGTATTAGTGTTCTACTTGTTGGGCATTAACACTTGTGAACAAAGGAGTAGATCCCTTTAGGAGTGGAGAATGCTAATGAACACTGAGAAGGCAATTGAAAAACAAACAACTAAAACAAAACAGAGTCTATTACATGAACCCATGATGATGATGTGCCATAAATTGAGGAGGGTAACTCAACCCTCTTTACCTGGAGTTTAAAAAAAAAGAAAAAGAAAGAGGGGAAGAAAGAAAAGGTCGCTGATGGATCTTCCATTCTTATGAGACAGACAGTCAAGGAGCAAATAGTGACAAGTTCTACGAAGGAAAATAAAGCTGCCTTTTCTCCCACAGGGCAAATCACGTTAAATAATTCCAGTCGGGCGCGGTGATTCACGCCCGTAATCCCAGCACTTTGGGCGGCCGAGGCGGATGGATCACGAGTTCAGGAGTTCAAGACCAGCCTGGCCAAGATGGTGAAACCCTGTCTTTACTAAAAACACAAAAATTAGCCGGGCGTGGTGGCGGGCGCCTGTAATCCCAGCTACTCAGGAGGCTGGGGCAGAGGTTGCAGTGAGCCAAGATCGCGCCACTGCACTCCAGCCTAGGCGACAGTGAGACTCTGTCTCAAAACGTAAAAAAACAAACAAACAAAAAAAACCCGACCTATCATTTCATTTGAGCTTTACAAAGTACGGAAAATCCGGACCTCAGGGGAATATTGAACTCACAGCTCATTCGGAGGGCTGGGCTGACGCAGTAGGAGATAATTTCTTAGTGATGGAGTGCAGAGGGGGCTACAGGATGAAATGAGGAACTGCTAACGTGGATTCAGCAACTACCGCTCTAATGCACCAATCCCGAAAACCAATCCAAGAGACTAACAGGAGGGGGCATTTGTCCTGCGCCTTCATGCCCATTATTTTGTTTTTTTTTTTTCCTCTAATCTTCCTGTCAAAACGATATTTTTTTCTTACTTTTTCAGAAAGACCCAACAATTTGCCTGGGATCACACAGAGAACAAGCAGCAGGGTTGTGGCTCCAAACCAGGGTCAATTTGTTCCCAATTCCTGCTCCGTCTAAAGTCTAGGAGACAAAGGGCCATCTCATGCTGTCCCCCTCCCTTCGATTTACCTTGAGCAGGCTCTGAAGCGCTGCAAAATGCTCCGCTGTCAGGGCAGCCATCTTTCCGAAGTCACATGACCGCGGCACGCAGCGAAGCGACGTCATGTGGCTGTCGCTGTTGTCGCGGGGCCTGCCGGGGGCTGTAGTCCTTCAGGGTGGAGGACGGTGTCTGGGGTTTGATGCTGTGGCAGTCCAGCCGGGATCAAGACGGACGCGGCGGCTGGATTGCTAAACCCTGGGACTCTAGGACCGAAGGACTGGGGGGACCAGGATGAAGGATGGTTTATTCGGGGAGGAAATTGGCTTGACTTGTCTACTTACCAGGTCAGGGAAACAGGTTTTCCCTTGACCCATGTGGGTGGGCTCGCCCGTTTGGGAAATACACCTGCAGACTTGGCAGGCACCTTGGAAACGTAGCTCTTCAGGAGTGATCAGCGTACCAGTGCTTGGGATGAAAATGAGGTTATGCATCTTGGCCTTCTTGGAATTTACAAATGCACACACATCCTGTCTTGAAGACTGTAAAATTACTTCTGTGTGTATAGATTTTCAGCCTATGGAGTAGGTAGGAGCTAGTATTACGAGTATTCTCCAGATTGGGAAATAATAATTCAGGGTTTTTAGTAACTTTAAGGAGGAGATCTGGTTCCAAGAGCAGGTGAGGAAGTGTTTGGAAGAGGGGAGAGGAGAGGAATGGAATGAAAGCTACTACCTATCTAGGTTCTTGTTACACAGGGGTGAGATGGGGGAGGTGGTTTATGGAAATGATTTAATTCATTTATTCAAGAAGGTAATTATAAGGAGTATAATTGTAAAGAGTGATTTTGCATGATCTGTACTGGACTCTGACTTGCACAGTGCTCAGAGGCTGTACATCAAAATAGACATTTCCTTTATCTACCTTTAATCTTTGGGTGACTCTTTTCTCTTTCAGCCCTCCACTTTTCATAAAGCAAATTCCAGCTCAAAAAAAAAAAAATGGGTTCTTATAAATTCGAGCTTAAGAAAGAATGTCCATTTGTGAAATTCCAGAAATGGTAAGCTGGTAAGGACATTTGTTCCTTTGTCTCCTATCCTCCTCTTTCCCCTCCCTGCCTCTATTTTCTGTGGGGGTGTTGTCAAGGCCCAGGGAAACAAAAATCAAGTTGTCTAAGGAGAAACCCATTCCTGGACTGGAAGATTTTAGAACCATTTTTGTCACAGAGTCCTGATTCCTTTCTTGGCCCCTCTTTTCCTTGAGCCCTCATGGCCTGATTCCTGTTTTCTGTCATAACTCAATGTAGGTTCTAGGTTTAACTCCTGCTTGTATCTATAGGGCTGGGCCCATTGCTTTTGGTGAATTGAATGTTTGTTAAATAAACAAGCACTCAAAAAAGTGATCAGACTAAGATGAACTTGTGTGACTTATTTGAGGATATTGCCTTGTTATTTGCAGGACTGTGCCTTCTTGTCTTACTTTAAAGCAATGAGGAATGTGGTCACCAGCCTCCAAGATGGCCCTTAATGATCTCAGACTCCTGGTATTCACACCCCAGTGTAGACACTTCCTACCTTGTACCAGGATTGGTATCCATGACCAATAGCAAATGGTGGGTGTGAATGGCATATCACTTCTGAGATTAGGTTATACGAGACTGCACCAAAAACAAACAAACAAAACCTAAGTTCCTGTCCCCTGGCGTGGGTGCTCTCTCATGTACCCTGCTCTTTTTCACTTGAATCCTTTGCTCCGGGGAAGGCAAACTGCCATGTTTTAAGCAGTCCTACAGAGAGTCCTAGGTGACAAGGAACTGAAGCATCTGGCTGACAACCTTATTACCAACCTTAGAAGCAGATTCTCTAGGTCTAGCAGAGAATCAAGAAGGCAGTAGTCTTGGCCAACAGCTTAACTGCAACCTCATGAGAGATTCTGAACCAGAACCACACAGCTAAGCCATGCCTGGATTTCTGGCCTTCAAACACTATTAAGATTATAAATGTTTGTTGTTTTAAGCTACGAAGCTTTGAGGTAATTTGTTATACAGCATTAGTGACTAATGCATGGTGGCAACAAAGTGTAGGGGCTTTAGAATTCAACCTAAGTTGTAATCCCAATTCTACACGTTATTCACTTCTCCATGTACACATTTTTGAACCTCTCTGGGCCTCAGTTTCCACCTCTGTAAAATGGTGTTGATCACACCCACCTATTTCAGGGAGCAGAGCTGAGCGACAGGCACCGCTTCGGTGGGAGGATCCCCAGCTCTCCCTGCTCTCGTGGGGAGGTAGTGATATCAATGGCATCATGTCATCCCATTTTGGTCGGGCTACCCAGATTGCCAATGCCATGTTGCATTGAAAGGTTTGTCTATGGCCTTGCAGAATGCCCAGCAATTTCTAAATCATAAGTATTTTCATGGGTGGGAACAGAACTCTGAACAGAATGTCAGAGTTCATTTCTATGATGTAGTTCCATTGCCTGGTTTTCATTAGGCCAAATCTGATTTCTTCCCAATTCTGAGTATAGGAATCAGTGCTGACTTTCCTTTATTTAATAAACTTGTTATGTGCCCAGCTCTGTTCTAAGCCTCTCATACTTAATTATTTAGTTACTATGATATTATATATATATATATACACATACACACAAACATATATACACAGACATATACATACATATACATATATAAGCACACACACTGTATTATTATTTCCATTTTGCATATGAAGAAACAGACATAGGCAGTTTAAGTAATTGGTCTGAGGTCACATAGCTAAATAGTGGCAAAGCCCAGATTCAAATATAGGCAGTCTGGCTCCAGATTCTGCAGTTACCCATCAAGCTGTACATGTCTCCTTGTCGTCCCACAACCGTAAATTCAGGTTTCTTCTCTTTGCATGTCTGACTCCCTTCCTCAAGCAGCAAGAACAAGCTAAGAGTGTTCCTGGACAATCAACCTGGTGGTGGTGAGAGGCAATCTAATGAGTGGAAGGGCTACCTTGGGCTTTGATAAAAGACCTAGGTTCAGTTTCCGACTCTTGTGTACTGTTAGCGAATTAGTTCCCCTCTTGGAACCTCAGTTTTATCATCCATAAAATGGGAACAACAATAATAAAAATACGTTTTGTCCATTAGGGGGAGCTCAAGGATGATTAATACCCCAAAAGGGGAGGGATTGCTGATATTCTTGCCATTGGCAACACCAAAGGGCAGAACTTACCTATGTTGTGGGCAGAGGTTTGCATGAGGGGGACCAACCATCCCAGTTTTCCCAGGGATGAGGGCTTTCCCGGGATATAGGATTTTCAGGATTAGTGCTGGGACGGTTCTGGGCAAAGCAGGCCAGTTAGTCACCCGAGTTTGAGCCCTGAGCCTTGGGTGAAACCAGCGTTTTGGAACACTTGCCCTGATTTCTCCAGTTGGGCAGATACGGAGAGAGGGATATTGACACAGAATTTATTAATAGAAAATGATTAAAGGCAGCGGTCTTAGTACTGAGGGGTTTTTCTTTTCTTTTTTCTTTTTTTTTTTTTTTTGTAATAGCTTTATTGAGATAGAATTAACATTCACATACCATACAATTTATCCATTTAAAGTGTACAATTCAGTGGATTTTAGTATACTCACAGAGTTGTCCAACTGTCACCACAGTCAATGTTAGAACATGTTCATCATCCCCAAAAGAAGCAGTATATCCTTTAGTTATCAACACCTGCCACTGCCCCCAATTCTCTTCATCACACCCAGCCCTAAGCAATCACTAATCTACTTTCTGTCTCTGTGGATTTGCCTTCTGGACCGTTTCCTATACATCGGATCATACGATATGTGGTCTTTTGTACTTGTTTCCTCTCCTTAGCATAAAAGGAGGAACTTTTTCAAGGTTTATTCATGTTGTAGCATGTATCGGCACTTCATTCCTTTTTGCTGAATATTTTTTATGTAGGTATACCGTATTTTATTCATTCATTCGTTGATAGACATTTGGGTTGTTTTTACGTTTTAGCTGTTGTGAGTAATGTTGCCATGAACAATCATGTACACAGTTTTTGAATGGACATATATTCCATTTCTCTTGGAGTATGTACCAAAGAGTGGAATAGTGGAGTTTCTGGGCCATATGATTACTCTGTTTAACCTTTTGAGGAAGTACAAGACCATTTTCCAAAGTGACTGCACTATTTTACAGTCCCCACAGCAGTGTATAAGGATTTCAATTTCTCTACATCTGCACCAACATTTTTTTTTTTGTTTTAAGAGATGGGGGTCTCTGCTTTTTTACCAAGTCTGGACTACAGTGGTATAATCATGGCTCACTGCAGCCTCAAACTCCTGGACTCAATTGATCCTCCCACTTCAGCCTTCTGAGTAGTTTGGACTACAAGTATGTGCAATCATACCCAGCTAATTTGATTTTTTTTTTTTTAGAGACAAAAAATACATTTTGTTTCTAAAACACATTTGCTATGCTGCTCAGGCTGGTCTCAAACTCCTGGTCTCAAACGATCCTCCTGCCTCAGGCTTCTGAGTAGCTGGGATTACAGATGGGAGCCACCGCATCTGGCTCTTGCTGATTATAGCGATCCTAGCGGGTATGAAGTAGTATCTCATTGTGAGCCAATTTGTTTTGAAGTTGCATTGGCATAGCAAACACATTTTGTCACTTGCTCTGTCTTTTTGATTATAGCCATCTTAGCGGGTATGAAGTAGTATCTCATGATGAACAGTCTTGTTTTGAAGTTGCTGCACAGCAAACACTTTTTGTCACTTACACTATTTTTGTTCATTTGAGATGACTGATGAAGGTTACAGGAGCTTAAATAAACCCATTTTCTCCCATTTGGCTTCACTACGAAGTCCTGGCTGCCTTCTTTATCAGAGGAATGCCTGCAGGAGGTGGATTAGGCCAAGGGTCCTGTAGTCCTTTAAGGAGAGCCTTTGCCACTCTCCCGTTATTTCTCTAGTTTCCTTTTCCTCACCCTCGTCTCTGTCCAGAGACGAGGATGAGTTGCAGGGGGAAAGGGCTGATCAGTCTTTTTGGCTTTGTGCCCCCTGTTGTACGTCAAGGAGCGGCTTTGGAGTGGCCTGATTAGTTCACCA